TATCACAAGGCAATCAGAACAAGTCAAAAAATAATATATATATATGCTACAAAATAATGTTGTTGCTACTTTTAACAAGTATACTCATAAATACGGAATAGGATGGATGGGATGTGGAGCCGACATATATACTATCATTACAATTTCAGTTTGGGTGGGGTGATTTATTTTATCATAGGCAGACTAGTTTCTCATAGAGGTTTACAAATTTTTCCAAAAGTAATGGCAAGCAAGTTTTTATGTGTATACCCAGATGATTATGTGTGGTTCTGTATGTTTAATGCTGTTTATATGCTGTCATGAAGAGACTATTTTGTGCTGAAAACTGCATTAAACATACAGAACCACACATAATCATCTGGGTATACACATAAAAACTTGCTTGCCAGTACTTTTAGCACATGTGAAGATAGAAATGTAGAGGTTTACAAACGCAACGTTTTTGTGTTTATTTGTTTGTCGTAACTATGTTTTGTATTTGCCTTTGAAAAAGACTCATTAAGAGTCGAAAGCGCTTAGGCTAGTTAGTTACTAGTTTCGTACTGTTCGTCGTCAGTTTATTGCATCTATATATATATATATATATATATATATATATATATATATATATATATATATATATATATATATATATATATATATATATATATATCTGACGGAGAAAGAACATGTAAGGTCCACCCACTCACGGTGAATAGTGGCATGCTTTCTCATTAACAACGGTGACCGAACTTGAGGCTAGAATCCACTCCGATAAAAGTGAGATGTCAGTGATCGATAAAGGCGAGAACATTAGACCACTCAGACACCCTGGGCCCCAATATCCTCAGATGAACGTGCATAATATTTGGCAGAAACAGTTTATAGGGTATTTAGGTCACAAACACTATACTTACAGTTCTAGAATCCTGGAATGGGTTTTACAATAATCCAAATAGGGCGTTTATTATTATTTCATTAGAAGTTGTACTCTCAGTAAAGAAATAGTAGTGAAAAAAAAAATGAAATGCACTGGAATTAGAGCCCAGGCATAATCGGATATTTGTTTAGTCACGGATGTAGTGTTTATTGGCCGCGTTTTGAAACTTAACATATTTTAGTCCGAAGATGTAGCCTACAATGACCGAATTTTAATGCCTACCACTTAAGTCCCATGAATTAGCCAAGAGTGACCACGTTTTGAAGCCTAACATATCTTAGATGAGGTCAGTAAGTATAGCAAATGTAGTAGTAGTAGTAATTTTTAGTAGTAGTAGTAGTAGTAGTTGTAGTAGTAGTAGTAGTAGTAGTAGTAGTAGTAGTAGTAGTAGCGAATGTAGTAGTAGTAGTAGAAAAGTGAAAAACTAGAGGATATATAATTTTAAAGAACGCTTGAACAAATTCTGAAACTTAGGCCACTTTTTCCTTGCTGTGATACACCTCAAATGTTCCATCGAAGATGTCCCATTTATGTCATTTTAAAGTAAGTTGAAAAACATCCTTGAACAAAATTTTATGAGAAATATAAGTCATATCTATAATGTTACTGATGTGTGAATTTAGTTTCAATAGGTGACCGTTCCGGTGACCTAAGTGATTAGAACATCATACTCGGATGTGGGAGGTCACAGGTTCGATCCATGGTCGAGTCACTACAAAGACTAATAAGAAGGATACTAACAGCTGCCTCGCTAGGTGTCAGGATGCTCTGTCTGGGTGGGACATCATGCTACATGTCTGCGGCATGATGTCTCAGTGCTAGATATCACTATAAGCTGCCACAATGCAGACAGCGTAAGGCTCTGACTGATATGTTAAAGCTACGTTAAAAATCCAAAATTCGAATCACATACACACACACGTACGCGTGCGTTCCAATAGGTTCAAATGTTAAATCAAAGTCCCAGGATGATTTACATATCACTTTGTAATTAATGTTGTGGTAAGAGTAATAGCTAACCGGTTTTGTCCTGAGCACACCTTTATCCTACGATGCACCAACAATAAAACTTCCATGTTCATTGGCAAAGTGCTAAACAAAGTAGACGGATAGACATACGCATGGACATTCGAAGGACGGATAATAGAACGATTCATCTTTAAGCGGGCGTTCAATTATTGATAGCTTGAAACCGAAGTAACAAACGGCATATAATGTTATGTCTATAGCAGCAAAAGCTTTTATTTGATTAACCTTTTTAAGGTTTATAAAACTTATGATCATATTCTAAGCTAATCGTATGAGTTGTTTTGAGGTTGTTTGCATGCGTGCATTTTGTGTCACTGGTTATATTATCAACGTATGAGCGATTATGTTGCTTTGCTTTAGGAGCCAGTCGGCATTGTTATAGTTCGTTTTGGACAATATTTATTAAAGGCTAATATTTAGACGTTGCAAATAAAGATCAATTATTTCTGTCTTCCTGTATAATAATATCTTTGCATTTAATGGGCACTATGTAATGGTATAAATACCTTTAATGAGCATCCACAGCATTGCAATGATAATTAGACCTTTCCTTAGCATTGATCATATTGGATAATATTAAGATCTTTCCTCAGTTCCTCAGTAGTGAGCACTTTGTAATAATAATGAGACCTTTCGTCAGTAGTGAGCACTTTGTAATAATAATGAGACCTTTCGTCAGTAGTGAGCACTTTGTAAGAATAAGAAGACATTTCGTTAGTAGTGAGCACTTGGATTAGGCAGTATTTAGTTTGTATACTTTACTATGGAAAGTACACAAAATTGAGCAATCAATATTGCGTGCTGAACAACGAGCATACATCTATTCTTAGCTCCCTCCTAATTATAATAATATTTACTTTTACAATGAGGATGTCGTGAAGACTGAAGTTAACTGACCAGAAACCTTCCTAACGTTTCTATTGAAATATGTAAAGAAACCTTTAGGCTCGATATTTAATAAAATCAAAGTTATTTATTAACTTAGAAGAAACACGTTACTGTATGCTTGAAAGTCAAAATGGGGGTGGGGGTGGAATGTTAAATAAAGGACTTTTAGCTCCAGCTCAAGTGGTGTATATGTTGTAACTAAATATACACCCTATTTATAACACATTATTATAAAGACATAATAATAATTTTTAAAAAATTTTTGTTACAATTTCGTATTTTCTTACAGCCTTAAGAATCATGTTTATCTCAAGCGACTGCAAAAGTGTTACTTATTACAATCTATCTTGTGCCCATATATATTATAAAAGATAATGTTGTGCGGCTTTTTTATGGTAAGATCATTTAGTAAAGTTCAAAGGAAATGTTTTGCGGTTTCAAGACCACCAAAACACCATGTAAAGCTAAATTGAAATATTTGTTTTAAAAGGTTATCGCTATTAAACTATTGTAGAAGTATTCTGTGCATGATTGGTACTAATAGCTTACCTGACATAATGATAGATTGTTTCCGTATCCGAGATTCTTACCTAATAATTGATTTCGAAAATGTAACGAAGAATTGTTTTTAATATCCGATGGGAAAATATTTAATGTCCCAACAGACGTGGATATAAGTGAATTTCGGTTTAGATTATTGATGGAAAAAGAAGTTTGGTGGTTTGTTCTCTCACAAAGTTGACAATTATTTACCTGCTGGATACTTGGTGAGCATTTCGTAACGAAAATGCAGCCTTTCTTTAGCAATGAGTCCATTGAAGTGATAATTAGAACATTTCGCAATAGTAAATATTATGAACTGTTAACAAAACCTTTTCTACCTGGTGCGCATTTTGTAACGATAAAAAAGTCATTTTCTCAGAGTGGAGCACCTTCTAACGATACAACCCTTCATCGGTGTAAGTACTATATAATTATAACGCGAGCTGTTAACCTGAGCTTTGAGTAAATCTTAATGATAATAAGGTCGTCTGCATGAATCGAGTGATTTATAATGATAATTAATTTCTTTTGTAAGTGGTGAGAACCATGTATTGATAATTAAATCTTTTGTCGGCACTTTGCAATGATAAAACTTTTTCCTCAGCAAGTAAGCAATGGTAGCAAGGACTCTTTATCTGCAGTAAGAATGCAATGGCCGTAAAATCATTTTTTTATTGGTGATCACTTTGTAATGATGATACAATATTTTCTCAGTATTAACAATTCCATAGTTCAAAATTTATTAATAAATTTAAGTCTTGCTTGTACATACATGAACAATATCCATTATTTCAGTTAAGCCAAGATAAAAACAGGTTTTTTTTTCGAAGAGAAATGTGATAAACCTATTTCAATATACGAAGTTATTGAAACTATCAAAGAGAGACATGACAAACATTTGGGCAACACAGTCCAAAATATAGACAAACGTTTGTCTTGGCCAAATTACTGAAAATTTCTATTTCATGACACAAAAGTTAAATCGAGTCCATAAATGCATGTTAATCCAAGCACATACATACATATCCCATGATAAATTAAAGGGCAGTGCCAGCAGGAAATGTAAACAAAAATCAGTGACATGATCAGTGTATTAACCTAACGACTATAATGACATTTAATTATGACAAATGAACGTCCGTGTATTTATTGACTTTGTATTTCACAGGGTTATTTCTCGTGACGGTAATTTAAATACCATTTCATTATTTTATCAGCACACTGTTAAAACAATAAACTTAAAATGATTTTCTGGCTGCACTTTTATTTATTTATTGAGACAGTTCTGAATCAATACACTTACGTAGAATATTGTATACAATATATATAAAAAAATCCTATAAGAGTAGCATAAAATACAGCATTTAAACAAGTTTGTGTGTGTTTGTGTGTGTCTGTGTGTGTGTATGTGTGTGTGTGAATTAGAATTTTAACGTAGCTTTATCAATTTTCAGTAATATCGCTACGATGTCTGCAGTAAGGCAGTTTATAGTGATGTCTAGCACTGGGGCATCATGCCGCAAAGATGCAGCATGATGTCCCACCCAGTAACATTATCCTGATGCCAGACCGACCAGTCCTAACACTAACCTCTTAGTACTTTTTGGGTAAGTCTTTTGTATGACTCGGCCGGGATTCGAACCCGCGAACTCCCTCATCCGACGCGAACGCTCTAACCACTAAGCCACCAGAGCTGTTTTTTTTTTTGGAATATGAAGTTCCTTTATGTACTTTAATTTTATCGTTATAGCCACAAATCCGCACATTACAATTGGATTGGAATTTTGAATATATTGTTATGCACGAAATCTCAAACACAATATTCTTTCCCGAGAATACGCATGACAAGTTCATTAGCAGCTGGGAGGGAATTACACATAGATAATGTGAATGAATTGCAAATCCACGTAACCTTACAAGAAGAAATGTCTATAGGCGAGAGACAGTTCTGGACATGTGCCTTATTGCCACGAAGACCTTTAACATTTCCCTGTAGATATTAAAGTATAGGTCAGATATAGTTTGCTATTATCTACAATTCATCAACATTAATCTTAGAAAATCTTAAGTCAAAAATGTACAGATGCTTTGTGGAACAGACGTATGGTATAAAGCATTACAAGTTAGAACGATAACATTTAGCATTTGGAGGAATAAGCATGGAGTAAATCTCTTCTACAAACTGAAACGGAATTTTTGCTGATTGGTTAGACTCAAAATATGAAAAGGCATTGCATTAATAAAAGGTAATGTCTGATGTGGTTGACAATCAGCGATGAAAGTAGTGAATATATTGCCTTTTACATTGATTCTATTTATTTTCTTATTTAATTCGATTGATCAAACCGTCCTGGTATTTTTGCAATTTACACATCATGGTTTCCAAAGTGTGCTGACAAAGAACAAGAATTATACATGCATTCCCCTTTACATTTAAATCTTAGCTTGAATATTTTATGCAGTTAGCATTACTTAACGATAATAAGATCACTTCTTAGTAATGAACACATTACAAGGATTATAAAAGCCGATATCATTAATGAGTTCTTTGTAATGATAACAACCCCTCCACTTAATACAATTTTATGTCAATACCGGTACAACATAATAAACTGTCCCACTTACGCACTGAACCAATTTTCTACACCCTCAAAGAAGGCATAGATGAGAAGAAGAGGTTTGTGTTCTCAGAACATTTGTGCACATTCAGCCTTAACCTTAACGATGTACGGAACAATGTAAAACAAAATATAATATTCCCTAAAGAATATGAACACCATCGTCGACGAGAATTGTTATGTTAATATAAAAGCAACTTTGTTACTTGGGATGTTGGAGTTCAATAGGATCGATCTGTCCCTGCTCATCCTAATTTAGAGACAAAAAGCCCATGTAGGAATAATAATAATAATAATAATAATAATAATAATAATAATAATAATAATAATAATAATAATAGTAATAATAATAATAATAATAATAATAATAATAATATAGGAGAGGGTGATGCCAACAGGTTATCAAAATAAAAATCAAGATCATTGGTTTATATTATTTTATGCAATGATTCCTTTTCAACGTTATTATTCATTTTATTGTCGTTGTTTATGACTTGTAAGTGATTTCTTTGAAAGCACTTTTTGAATATTTTTAACATATGATAATTGACTCATTCAGGCAAACTAAATTCAAATTGTTTCACTTGAATTGCTGTACATGCAAGTAATACGTTGCCAGAAACAGCGACATTCCTTATTCTTATTTGAAAAAAACAAAAACAGTAGGTTTCATTTCTTCAGCAAACTTCCCTCAGAGGTCAGTTGATTTGTAATCTTCCACGATCCAACTATGTGAGAAGAAAGTGTACTTTACATATGATGGCTAATTAGGGTTGATATTAATTTCATCCTAAGGACCCAAGTAACACCAACTATTGTTTTACTGTTCGGAATATGTTACTATATACGGCTCAGAAGACATCGCAATTGTCTGGAGAAGTGAATGAATTTATAAAACACAATATGTCGAAGTTGGAACTGACAAAACGTTATAGTGGAAAATCAGTTGTAAACTGTAAGAGCGTAACATAACGTAGTCTATTTGAAGACATTCAAACCTTGCATGCAGATAATCCCATCGTCACCTTCATGGGACATCTTCTATACTTGAATTTATAAAATTCACATGACAACATTATGCTGAAGCTTTTTCTTTCTTTCACCCCACATTATACACATTTACTAATTCCATTATGTAAAAGTGTGAATATGTTCTAAGAACATCTTGTGAATTAATATTATGGTCCTGTTTACAATCCATTGATTAATTGCAGCAACAATTAGCAACACTACAAATAATATTCCTATGAATTTGTTTAGTGTAATCTAGTTGGTCAGATGTCGTGATATTAACACCATGGACATAAAGAAAAGTAAATAAAAGGGACCATACATGTACAGTTGTTTCCCAATTGTGATCTCATTCACTGTGGACGCAGTCATTTAAATATTCATCTTCACCACTGATTTGTTATTTGTTAATCACATTCGAAAATGTGGAGGATAAATGGTGTCAAACTTGACATTTTAAACGCTCGTCATATCAATTATCTTTTCTTGCATACACGAACATACATTGTACGGTTTTGATTACAGTATTTTTTTTAATTTTACCTAACGCAATTATCATGTCTCAGTAATGAACGCTTAAAATCAGCATATTGTTAATGAAAACTGCAGGTATTTTGGTGCTATCGAGAAGATTGCGAAAAGAATGTTTCTGATATTTTAAAGTATGTTAAATCCTACCTACAGATGTTTTGAAATGCATCCCTTTGTTATAGAATACCTTGGCTCGTGTTTATTCTTTTTAACTGTTTGAATATGGCTTATATCTGGCACGAAGAAAGGAAGCTCTGCATTCAATGAATTTGTATATAATTATCGTGAACATGAGAAAATGCTAATGTTACAACAACCACTTCTACAACTAGGATATAAAGAGAATATAAATGCATCTTATTATGTACGCAAATCGATAGATCAATATACCTGACCATTTCTATATATTTCTGATTCATGTATGTACCCTACAAACTACACTAAGCTGAACATTCAAGGACCCTGCTAGATATCACGATCTACATTTATGAATGAAATATAATGATATTATCCGCCTTTGTATTGTGATGTACATAGTCTTAGGACTGACCATACTTCATTAGCCAAAAATAATCATAACATTGCATAAAATCGCTCAGTTATTATTACTGTCCATGACGTAACAGTACCTGAATGTGCCAAAATACTACATTCGTTGGGCATAAGTTTTCGTCCACAAAATACGTTACATAGCAACTTGAAGCTGATTAAAATGTCTGTAGAGTATTATAGAGATATAATAGTTTGATGGCAAAGTAATGGCCCGAAGCTTTCCACAGAGACAGCAACATCAATGACAAAGAAAGTTGTAATGTGGCCTAGTGACAAAATAGATCATCACAAAAATGCCGTATTATATGCTAAAAAGAAATTTGGAAATATAACCTATGGTACTTAAAATTCCAATGTCCAGGACAAATGATAACAGCAGAGTGAAAATAACGTAATGTATGAGAGGCAAGCAACAAAAGGTCACCTTCCTTTGTGACAGTAAAATGAATTCTCCAGGATATACCAAGATAACTAATCCAAATACTGGAATTTGTTTTATTTCCAGTGTCCTTGTGTTTGTTATTTGAATAAAATATCGCTTACGCTTGATATACAATACTATTGGTGCATCAGTTTCATTGGATAGCTCATTGCTTTGTTTAATTGCCTTGCAACATAGGTTTCTCCATAATTGACAGACGACAGAAAGCTAGATTATCCTTTGGCATTTACAGCTGTAATGTAAATGATGACATTTATGTATCCGTTTCACTCGTAAAAAGGTCATTGACAATAATAAACACGGTAACATACTTCATATACAAGAATGTATTGAAAATAGTATTTATTCACTTCCTGAATTTAGTGATTATATGTAGTCAATATAATCCGAAATATATCTGCATTTATATAAACAATAACTTGAATAAATATCCACATGCAAGAACTCGTATGTTTTTGCAGCTAGGAAAGGCACAAACTGTAATGGTAAATATGATGTCGCATTTGCTTTTATTCCATAGAAGAAAGTTGTACTCCTGTCTTGATTGCCAAATGTACGAATAAATTTATTCTTCAAATATATCCCGACCCCCTTTTAAGGTATGGATTTTACTGTCGTACGAAATATTCCCATTTACATTAAAAATGTACTTATATTTGTGTGCATATTTATATGTCCGTTATACTTTTTTTGATGCAGACACATTGATTGGAAGTCACAGTTGTCTATATATGTGGAACAAAAAATTTATCTTAAAATAATTTAATAAAATCTTTTGATAGGAACAAAGTTATTGAAGACGGATATAAACAATAAAACATAAGACACACAAAACCAGAGGGAATGACATTAAGTATTATGGAGGATTAGGTGTTGTTTGCTGTGTTGCTGATTGGACTTTTTCTGCCAGTCTCCAAAGGTTTTGCAGAGCTCACAAAAGTATTACTACGAGTGACTTACTCAGCTTTTCCACGCTTAATTGTTATGAGACTTCTAAAATCAGTTATTAATTTTAATTTGCATAATTGTTATCTTCATTATGCACAAACAATGAGAATCAAATCCAGTTTAATAACTACTCATACTTTTTCCTCTCTCTCTCTCTGTCCATCAGTCTGTCTGTTTCTTTATATATATATATATATATATATATATATATATATATATATATATATATATATATATATATATATATATATATTTATATGTATGTATGTATGTATGTATGTATGTATGTATGTATGTATGTATGTATGTATGTATGTATGTATGTATGTATGTATGTATGTGTGTAGCGTATCATATTTAGGATTTTAAGTTTTATTATTTGAAACCGTTATGTCATTGTGGCATTTACGTTCACAAGTAATTCGCGCAGAAGAAAAAATGCGATTTACACATAATTATGTTTGAGAAACATACATTTCTCTCTTTAGCTACGATTAATTGTTGCTACAGATATTTCTCGATAGTAAACTGTCCTTCATTAAAAGAGTTTATATTGGTATTTCATTTCCATAAATTAACTTTATATACGACTG